CTAACAAGGACTTCCAATGGGGTGGTTATTAAGGGCCCTTAAAACGTACAAAGAAAACCAAAAAAACACCGCCCTTCGTAGAACCAGGTGACTTTTGAACTCAATCACACTTGTGAATAGACAGTTTGCTTCTGTGCTGAGCATTTGTGTGATCATTCTCACCTCCGCAGCGCTGGATGTGTGGCTGCTTCTCCATTTTAACGGAGAAGCTGAACCTGGAACTATGCCTCGGCTGGGATTTGCGTGCATGGCGCCCATCCTTCGAAACACATTGCTCAGTCTTCGCTTCCCATCCGTTTCTACGCAGAGAACTCGGAGTTTCCGCGCGATTCATCTCCCTGTCCCCAGGCGCAGGCTTCATGCATTTGGCTGACGAGCTTGGGGAGCTTTAAGCGCTGTGACCGACAATGATCCGCCCAAATGACGATGGTCTGCTGTCCCACATGCTGCGCCTATGGGCTATGCCATGCCTTGGGCAGCGCAGCCAAAGCTGTTGAGTTCCGCGCATCCCGCCGTGCAAAGCGTGCAGGGGCCCGAGGCTGCTAACACCTGTAATGTCCCCCAGCCATCCACGGATGCCCGGCCAGGAGCAATGCCCGCCAAGCCAACGACGACGCCCAGCACGGACTCGGAGAGTGAGACATGGGAAGCAGCCATGCGAAGAAAGTGGCTGCACTTGCCAACGGGGAGAGAGATAGAGCAAGACAAGACACCCAGCTAGCTACCCCTTCTTTCGACCAGACGAGCTTGCATAGGACCGATGCGGCTGCCGGAGTCTGAGTGCCTTGATGGCTATTTACCGCATGACCAAAAAGTGTCTCTGTTGCATGAAACTTGGTCTCCCCAACAACATAGCAGTCAAAGATTCAAGCCAAGAGCATTGAAGATGCGGCATAGCCCAAGGAGGTCACGAGATAGATCCCAGCCATGCTGATGGTGCGCGACAAGGATGCGGGGGATGTCGACATGGCCGCGACTGATCGTTGCTCCGTAACTTGCTTTCGCTGAACGATGGAAGCAACCTGGAGCGAGTAAGGGGGCCTTTCTGTCTCTCCTGGAAAGTAAGGGGGCCTTTCTCTCCTGGAAAGGGTTCTGTCTCAAAACGGCGGAAGCCTTGTTCGGATCGTGCAGGGGAACGGTTCCTGATTTGAGAAACAGAGGTGTTGTTGGGGCCTAAGGTGTGATATCTGCCCAGCGCCAACCTGGGTGGTTGGGTGGTGACAAGCAGCCAGCAGCCAAAAGGCGCAAAAGAGTCCAATCCAAAAACAAACCAGCGCGAGTCGATCTTCATGGTCGCTTCCGAACCTAACACGATAACTAAGCACAAAAATACATAACAAGTTCTGATAGAGAGCCAAGTAGTTTCCGTTTGCAATGCGGGTTCTGTCTAAAAGTAGGACACCTTCAAAACGGCGGGTTTGCCCCTTTGTTTTCGTTTTGGCTCGAACCAGGTACCCTCAAACAAGACGAAACACACAAACACACACACACACAGACACAAACACAGTCCCAGCCACAGAGACAGAGACATAGAGACACAGACACACCACAGACACAGACACAAACACAGACACAGACACAGACACGGACACGGACACAGGACACAGACACAGACACAGACAGACAGAGACAGAGACAGAGACAGAGACAGAGACAGAGACAGAGACAGAGGCAGAGGCAGAGGCAGAGACAGAGACACAGACACAGACACACACACACACACACCCTGACATTCTCCATAGGTCTTGGGATCAACCCACACGGTTCACACGGCCCTGCCCCCCAAAAAAGAGACCGACACATGGACCGAATCGATTGCCTGGCTTGCCGTCCTCGGCGGTTTCCTGGCCGGTGAACCCCTACCCCATGACCCAGGGGTCAGAATACCCGTGTATGTGTTCGAGAACATGGCCAGCTAAATAGGAGGTCGGTTTTCTTCTAAACCAAAAACACAAGATCTTCGTGTGGTGTCCCTTTTGAGTAAGAACAAGGCGAGCTATTTTGCGCCCAGCGAGAATGAGTGTCCCCTGGGCTTTGGTTGAAGCTAACGTCTCCATGTCCTCCCACGGACCGAAAAGTGCCAAATACTTTAAGCAAAACTATCTGTGTGTGTGTGTGTTTTTGTTCTTTCTTTCTTTTTCGACAGTCCAGGGAATGCATAGGCTGCGTTGAAGAATTCTCAAAGGAACTGTCGGACTCCATTCGAATGTCCCCCAACCCACCGACTTTTCAACGAGTTTCAAATCTGGCCAAAGTATCTCGCGTGGCGCAAACTCGGAGCCCGGTGCTTTCAGCTTTCAGACAAGTACCCAGGACCCTAGTGGCGAACCGCCATGGGTAGCAATTACCGCCGGAACTGGAGGCATCTCGCGCCTTGGGCAGCACCACACAGATCTGGCGAAAGGCCATGACCGCGCTGCCCACCACCTGCACCTGCCGGTTCACGGAGCTAGCATTCTTGAGACTCGCAGACGTGAAACTGACTCACGGGCCGGGAAGTCCAAGCTTAGCTGGAATGAGACAAGAACTGAGGGCTTCAATGTTCAAAGACACCAAAGACCCGGCTATTCCCCCAGAAAGGAAGGGAATCTGAGTCTTAACATAAAAAGGCCGTACCAAAAGACACCGCACCACTGGATGCCTCCATCCCCTTGTGAAGAAAGCTGGTTGGTTGGAACAATCAAGATTTATCAACAACTTGAAGCTTAAAGACCTAACTCAACGGTAAACAAGGCAAAACAGACCCTCCCCCTCCCCCGCCCCCCGCACACTCAGGGCAACTTTCAAATATGGACATCCTCCACCTTTGCGCACTCGGATATACCGCGCCTCCACGTCGTTCATCAACTTGAGGAGAAGCTTCCTTGCACCAACTCGGCTTTCTAGAGATCTGCCCAAAGAGAAAGGAATCACAAGACACGGGGCTCCCAGCAAAGTTCCTGTTTGGCAAGACCACTCCACCAAAAGGTCCAAAAGGTAACTCACACTAAATCCCGAAAGGTAATGTGTAAAACCACCAACAGAGGAAATCTAAGGATCCCTGAGGCAGGCATCCAAGCAGTTCTTAGTTGGAGGCAGCTTTACACGATCATCATCTCAGGGAAACACTCGTGGCAGCAATCCCTAGACTTATTCACTGGAAAGTGCCAGTGCTTCCGCTTACCACTATAGTAGGGAACCAGCGTTTCTTACCTCTAGGTTTGACATGATGGTTTCCCTCGGCTAGCTGCTGGCAACTGGAAGCATTGGGTAAGATTGCTGCCGGTTCGCAGCCTCGAAACATGTTAGTGCTTGAACACTCTCCCTTTGATTTCCTTTCTGGGGAACCGGGACATGGTTGTTTAAGCAAACTTCCATTTGCTTCAGTCCATTGGAAACAAAAACATATGTCCAGTAGTGAGATATTTATTCCCTTGAAACCAGCAGGATAAAATAGCAAAACATGTTGTTGTTTTCTATTCCCTCGAAACCAGCGGGGGGAAGAAATCATGTAGTTGCTTCTGTAGGTGTGTGTTATAGCAAATGAAGCAAATGTCGTCCCCTTATCCCTCTATGTCTGCGGCCTCAACTCGAAGAACTGATCCGCGTCAACACCATACACCTGCGATGAGGTGAAAGGCACGCTCATGTCCTCACTTCCGATCGAGCGGGTTGGCCGTGGATTTTTGTGTACCACTAAAATGGTCCAAACCCAAAAGTTTAAAGTCCATGAACTCAGTGAGACAAGTTGCACCCCCTGGCTTCCAGCTGAACACACCCTAGGCCGGCCTTTCAGCACTCAAAGTCCAAAATACTCCTGCAGATCACGGGGGAATAGCATTGCTCTTGTCCATGGAAAATGGGTCCGTCTTCTGGAGGCTACCCTTTTGAGTGGAGACCATCAGGTATGCTTCCACTTTTTCCGGAGTCCACCATTTTGAGACAAACATCCCCACCATTGCAGGGAAAAAAGTCCCCCCCATCTACATCGTTTCCCTGGTACTCACGGTCCACTTAGGGAATTGGGAAGGTTCCCTTTGCGGCCCAGCACGCCCTTTCATACACTATTTGCACCCCTGCGAATTTATGTGGAACCCACAAAACCTCATAGAGCCTCTTTTGGCTTCTGGGAAAAGGCCTCTTTTGCCCAAAAGGGGATGGGGATACGCTATACCCCCTACTCCAAATGCCCACGTTTTCAGGGGTGAATGTTGAAAAGCCAGGTTTTCCATGGTAAATACCTCTGATTCTAGTCCAGGGTTGACATCATGCCCTAAACAAGTCGGTATTTGGAGTAGAGAGCAATCTCCTGAGTTGCATTGCTTGACTCCCGAAGGTAATTAGGCTTAAACCAAGGGTCCTGCGTTTGGGGGAATGAATCACTCTGGGTTTCAGTCTACCTGAGACAATTTCTCTTACAACTAGTTCCATTACTTGTGTTTGTTGACTAATACTTAACTCCCTTCCAACCACACAATATCACATATGCCGAGCTCATACCACATACACACACAAACCAACCACCACACCAAGCCGTATCAAGCATGAGTTTACGTCCCATACCTTTTTTGCAAGTCTTGTGTTGCTGAAGCACGCCCGCCTCCCCTTGCTCCCTGGAAAACTCCGACACGTTGAATGACTTGGTGTTGTCCTTTTTGAGCCTTTTTGGGTTGGTTTAAAGGGAAACCAAAAGGACACCACCCATTTTGGGGGCGTCCACCATTTTGGAGACAAACCCATATGGGCTCCCAACCATGCGCCAGCCTTGATCATGCACTGCGCTGCAGTCTTGCGGACGTAGGGTGAGCCTCTGGGCACAAACGTTTGCAAGATGCTGACTCTCTGTGCGGTGGATTTTCCAAACAGCTGCAAGTGGACCAAGCGCAAATCATCGCCAAGGGTTTTGGAGGGGCGTTTTAGTTTAGTATTTGTCCAGGGCTTTCCAGGGCTACTTAGTGGTTTTCCAGGCTTGTTCAGGAGAGAGCCTACAGTACTTGCAAACTTGCAAACACTCAGAAAATTCACTGCATCACTCTTGGCGACCCCAGACATTTTCTGGGGCGAAAGCTGTCTCCGGCCGCTGTTCGCACCGCAACCATCACAAGCTGGATGACCTGCGAGGCCGCTCTCTCCCACAATCGGAGACGGACCCCCCAAAATCGGATCTTCGGTTTGCTTTTGGCTTCCCTTTTCCAGCCCAAGGGCAAAGCAAGAAGAAGAACAACAGCAAAATATCGCACTAGAAACTCATAAATTAAAGCCTTTGATATCTGAGTTGTACTAACATGTAAGACTTCATATGTTGCAATTACAGTGATAACAATAGTTCTATGAATCGATTTTCTCTGAAACACATTTAAAGAAATACTACCTTAATAGATGATGAGTGACACGGAAAATGAAGGGATGTTAGGGATACAGAAAGTTAACGCTATGATTCTGAAATGATATCAATCATATTAATCAATAAATCGATGAGTTCTATTGTAGAGATTGTTCTTTATTAAAATCAACCATTAAACAAGGTTTTTCAGATGGTGTTTCAAATAGTATGTGTGAATATACAATGCGTGAAAAATGTTCAACAGTAATCACTGCTATTCAAAATCATAATTCTGCTAGGGGTTGTAGCACTGTTGAAAAAGGAACTATTAAGTACTATATAGAATGAGAAAACAAGCGACAAAATAATTAAATAAACTGATTAAACCATTTTTTACTGATACTATCGAATCAGATTATGGGTTTGCTGTAATTACAACATATAAGAATTAATATGTTGCAATTGTAGTATACGTTTATTATATAAGCCGTGGTGGTGCATATCTACTTCCGCCTTGCCCCTCCGCATTTGCCATCCAATACTCCAAATGTATTTTACTGGTGTTGTTGGCATGATTTGAGTTGGCCCTTAGAGTTTCCTTTTTTCCATTGGTTCACCACTTTTCGGGGTGTGGCAATAAGTTGAACATAGGACTGTTTTGGCAAACGCATTCAAGAAATATGCCCAAAAAGTGTAGGGGGGGGGGGCAAAGGGGTGGATGGCAAAATGTGGAGAGGCCTAGTCTAGCGACTAAGAAGGCCCACCAGGGGCCTTTTTTTTACAGGGTTCCTTTTTGGGGGTTCCCCTCTTTGGAGGGCCCCTGACATGGATGTTAGCCTGTTAGTGTTTGCTCCGTGGCAAATGCAGTCCGGTGTGTAGATGTGTTCTAGGATTCACAAAACAATGAAATCCAAGCATTCTAGATACGCATGCCTATAAATGTGTATACATAATACATACATGTATGAAACATGGATGCGTTCGTTCCCCCCCGGCCCACGTGCACGTCGCTGCTCAACAGACACCACACGGACACCAAGCATTGAGATCTCCCAGGTCTAAGCGGTGAAGCCCCAGAAACACCAGGGAGATTGGATTGGACCCTTTCACAGTAAACATTTGGGAGTGTTCATGTCCTTCCTAGCCTCGTTTCGGTGGAACGGCTTCCCAGGAAAGTGTTGCTCCGGGTTCCAGATGCTATTTGTGAGACAGTCTCCGTTACCCTGGCATCCACTAACATACAACCCATTGTAGGCTCCCTATTTGGAGGAGAATGGTCTCTTCCAGAACCCAAGTCAGGTTCAATCAAGCTCGCCCTGCAAATTTCTACTCGTCTATTGTCAGGTTCCACACTTAGTGGCGGTTCATCCCTTCCTGGTTGCACTTGTGAGATATGTCATATATACTCAAGTCCAATTGTGTAAGGAACCGTATGCCTGGAGCCCCGATGCACCCCTTCCTTCTGCCTCACCCTTTTCTTGTGGGTTCTTTGGGCAAACAACACTTGAATCGGTCGGTCCTTTACGGGTTCAGTCATAGGTGTCCTGTTGGGAAAATAGATGGCCTTGCTATATGAAACAACCAGGTCAGCCAGGGCCCTCTATTTTCTACCAACGAACAAGCACATCAATGGCTCCGGTTGGGAACTCTGGCCATTCGAATTTCTGGTGCACTCCGATTTCCTCGAATCCTCGCGCACGTTGCGGGTGTCGCTCGCGTGAGAAGCTCGTCGCCTCCAGGACTTTGATGGAAGCCATCGCGCGCAGAGCGGAAGCTCGTATCTGCTGGCTCTGGTTGGACAGGTCCTGCTTTCGGAACTTTCGGCCCCGTTGATCGACTCGGAAAAAAAAAGCGCGGTGGGGTGCAGGAACATGTGAGATCCGGATAGGGACTTGCTGACTTGCTCCCTGAAATATGGGTGCGCGGCTTTTTGGAGCAGGGTCGGTATCAGGATCCTGACACAAACATGCTCGATCTTTGATAATCAACCAATGAGTCGTGTGCATTTGTGGGGGGGTGGTTCAAAAGGGAACCACGGAGAAACCGACACCCAAGTGTTGTGCTCGTTTGTCTTGCGGCGGGGGGGGGGGGGCATAATACCTAGCTCGATGGGATGGTGGTTCGCTCAAAGGCCAAGGTCCTTCTGGAAGCTGTTGATGGATAGCAGCGCGAGCTCTCTGTTGTTCTCTGCATACTGGCGTTCAGCGGTAACGCCGCACTCTTGAGCTATGGGCTGAGATAAGGGTGTCTCCAAATCGAAACACAACACAAGTACGGGATTGGGGATCCATCCAACCGCTCAACATACCGCCAACAAAGGCACTGCCTCTGAAAAGGATCTGCAAATATCGATAGGCGGTTGGCCTCCTCTCATCTCATACTGAATGGCGGCCAGCAAACAAAGATGGATCAAGCACAAGTCAGACTCTCTCTCTCTCTCTCTCTATCCATTTGACCAATTTTCATCTGGGCAAATTAGTACAATTCCCAAGCTGGATATGATTCCCAGTAAAGGACCTTCATGTTTCATGGGTGAAATCGCGTTTTACCCGCGGATCGGTGAACTCGTGAACTATCTTGCCCAGATTGATGTGAAGGGTGCAGTGACTCAAGGCCAGCGCCTGCACCAAGTAGATGTAAATCAACTTCTTCAGCTCAATGGACCTCAAACTTCTTCCGCTTAGTGGATGGACCAATGGAGGACCTGGTTTTGTGTTCCAAACCCAAACCGATCGGTTTTGTTAACCTCCGACTTACTCGGTTTGTGGGCCCAAACACGTTGGGGGTCAGAATACAGGTTCAACCAGAAAACATCGCCTGCCGGATCCCCCATGAAACAGCCAGAAGCCCCCGACGAGAAGGACGCGTTACTTCAATCAAAAGTCCCTGCAAACTCCGCGACTAATCCCAAAAGGGAAACATGCTTATTGAGCAACGTGTCTACTGCATAGTTGTGCTCATTTAGACAGTAGTTGCTCCTTATTTGGGGATAATCCCTAAGGGGTATGGTCCAGGGTGGTGGTGGTGAAACCTTTGATTCAAGCGACTGGTTTCACGAATCTAGGTTTCAGATAAGTATAAGCGACGGACAGTATCTGCAGGGTATCGGTTTTTAGTCTATCGGCTGGCAGAGCATTGTCAGCTGCGCATGTCTTGTGCTATCAGTTCCTCAGGCGCAGGCGAGAACGAGACATTTTTCACCTGAGTCGGTATGCTCAGAGCAGGCTGCAGGAGTTGCATGCGTTGAAACCATGTGTTTGGAAATCCTTGCAAAGGGTAACGTCAAGGAAGGATTGCGCTGCAACCATGCCCTACGTTCCTGGCGCCTCAAACGAGGCCAAATCTGGGACAACAGTGGGGGGGGTTAGGATAGCCTGGGTTGCTCCATCCCGGCTTTTGAACATCACCCGAACCTGCAGGAAGCTCTTCGTAGCTTTGCCATCAAGGGGAAACATTGGGACCCCGAAAGGGACAACAGGAAGCCGTTGCCATTGGCGTCCACATTCTTTTGACACAAACTACACCCAGCGCATCCAACGGCCAAGTCGCCACATCCGGGAACAATGCACTGGCGTCTCTCCCAACGGAGACCGCCGCGAGAATTCGCCTGGGAAGCGCTTTGAGTTGCAGTCACACAAGGCGTTTAATTATGCAGGCTCCATGGAGATATTCCGAACGTTCATACTTGAAAGAACTCCAAGCTTCACCAAGATCTTACCGCACCTAGCAAACACTTACTTCAGAATGATTTCGCCATTCCAGGCAATTCGCGTCGCAGCTTTGTTGCTCGCCATATGTTCGTTTCAACGAACTCCGATCAATGGAATGTTCCAAACAGCGAAACCAAAGAAAACTAACGCAACTTTCTAGCCGATCTCCTTCGAGGCTTAGAGCATCCCACGAAGAAAAGGATGTGCTTGTTTCTGGCATCTCTCAAAGGGAAACCACACCGCTTTGATTCAAACGAGGAGATCTTCTCAAAGTCGAGGGCAAGCCCAAAAGTTCCCTTGGGAGTTTGATAGATGGAATCCTCTGCTTAATGATTGGAAAGTGGGTTCCAGTGGAACCCATTGATTGATTCACCAAAACATGCTCAAGGGACAATGCCCACAAAATCTTAGCAGGGTTCCAACATGTGCTCTCCCGATTGTTTTCCCCTTTGAACAAGCACACGACAATGTTCATCATAACTCCAACATCTGGGGTACACAGAAAGTGTCATATGCTCAGATGTGCCATATTCTAGTTTACCCTATGGAGTTCCCAGTATTGACCCCAGTCAAGGACTGCCTCGAGATGGTGTCTTGTTTTGGTTGGAACCCCAAACATATATGGGTTCCCTTTGGCAAAACAAAAACCTTGAAACAACCCAAAAAAGGGTACCGAGCCTCAAACAAAAATCCCCAGGCCAGTGATTCCATTTCCCTGTATAGGAAACCAAGGGATTGCCACATGTTAAAACCAAAAGGGAAATGGCGAAGGGTTACCTACTATAGGAGGAACTGATATCCACTGGCTTCCATTAATTTGCTTCAGTCCCCTGGAAAATTGATCTTATTTCAGAAGAATATTCCCTTTAAAACCAAGGGAACACAACAAACATTTGGACGTTCCTTTGCGTACTTTTTCCCGGGCGTTTCACGATTCAAGGCGCTTTGGGCCACTTGGAGAAAGAAGTACTCTTCGGGAATGTCCACCTAGAGTCTCCATGACCCTTTAAAATGGGGTCATTACCCTACATAATGGGGTCATGGACCTCCTTTTAAAGGGTCATGGAGACTCCGACCAGGCACATCCTTCAGATGGAAGCCGGGCGGCTTCATGGCATCGATCTTCCGCTCCGTGATGCTATCGGAGAGCCCCTTTCGCAGCTCTGACTCCGAGTACTTCTCCTTCGAAGACATGGTAAAGCAAAGGGGGGAACCCGCGTTTAGTTGGTAGAGGAAAACCAAACGGAACATGCAATTATCATAACAGGGGCCTAATCAGGGTTTCGACTCCTGTGGTATTTCAAGGAAAACACAGTTTGTAGTCAAAGGGAGCCCAAAAGGACACCAACCAGTGTAGGTGACCATTTTGAGAATCCCCCCAGAGCCATATTTTGAGCGCGTCTTCGGGTCTCCCTTCAGACCACCAGGCCTTCAAAAGGGCCTGAATGAGTCCACGACTTCAGGACCCTTTGCTGAACACCACTTTCACATGTCAGGGGTTCAGCCCAACTACATAACCCCAAAGCATACGCCTGCCCCTAGTCTCATACCCTAGTGCTTCCGGCTGCCACTTAAGTTATCACTATACTCTATGTGAAGTAACCAGGGCCGTTTCAACAATACAAATACAACATACCGAATCGTATCGTCGCGTATTGCGAGCTATCGGTATCGAAAACCAAGTATCGCAACCTCAAATCGTATCGAAGACTATCGCTGGAAATCGTGTTGAATCATACCGATTTGTATCGGTATCTGTAGGGGTTTGCTTTGAGGGGCCCTTTGGGGTAAAGCACATCGGCCCGCCATCCCCGCCCTCTCCTGATCGAAGTAACGCACCTCTGAAGTGGAAAGAGCTGAGAAGATCTCCCGCACCCCGGCAGAGGCCTAACGGTATCGAACCCATGGGCTGCTGACCTCCAAACCTTGGTATGGTAAAACCCCTGTTTATTTATATGGGGGTGTTCCCTCCAAAAGTGATAAATCCCCACTAAAACCAGGGACACTCTCATATTAATAAACAGGGTTTATTAATCCGGGGTCAACATTAGCAAAACACTTTGCTTTTTGCAGCCCTCTTCTAAAAACGAACAGAACCAAAAAACCAAGCAACTAAACGACATGCCAAGGAGAGTGAAGCGAAGCTACTGGGATTTGGGTGTGTCCTTTTCCAAATGGCCCCCAAAATGATGGTTTTCCTTTCCAACAAAAAAGAAAAAGGGGTACCAACTCAGAAACAAACGAGCCACCCGTTTAGGCATAGATGCACCCTCAGGATGGAATTCCCGCTTGTTTCTCTCGGGCTAATTTAGGGCGTGAAGGGATCTGCGTCCATTCTGGGGCACACAGCCATACTCCCACCAAGCAAATGCATATAAGCCATAATTTGCATCTCGGACAAATAATACAAGGGTATAGACCAGAGCACAGAGCCCAGGACAAAACAAGAAACTAGCTGTTTTTCTGGGCCCCGCAACCACCCAGGATTTACACGGCCCTTTCAAGCCGATCATGTCCATGTATTTCCCTTCGAATAGCAAGGAGCAAACGCTGTCCAGTTGACATGTCGCTTCTCGAGAGCGTCCAAGGGTCAAGGACCGACATCGTAGGAGTTAACCCCAAGACTGACATGTTCTCCCCAAGAATCTCTCCGTATCTTCCTAACATGAGTCGACATGCTCAATCCAAGGATGGGCCCTGCCACGAAAGAAGAAGAAGAAGAAGAAGAAGGAAGAAACAACGACAGCAAAGTGGAGTTGTCTCAAATAGGATATGGAACCCCAGAATGGGCTTTTGGTTGTCCCTTTAGATTCCCCTTAACCACACAAAAGGGTTCCTAAAAAGGGGGTCGGTCTCCACCCGAGTTGCTTTCCCGGAAGCTGGTTTCAAACGATAGGAACCTGACTGAGTCCTGGAAGATCATGTTGGTGTAAAAGGGACACTCTGGAAAGGAGGTTTTATTGGTAGATGGTTTACGTCAATTTCCTATACGTTGTCAGTGCATGGGGGCATCCGAGCTCGGTTGCCAATCTTATCTCACCTGACTACTTGGACAAGTCTTAAATTAGTTGGTCCTTCGGTGGACATTGTTTGCATGGGGATTTGTGTGCGCCAGGCACTTTTGAGGGAGTTCCAACCATTGAAGTTCATGGCCAAATGGTATCCTTTAAACTCCACTCAAAGTTTGAAAGCTTCTAATGACTGCCCCCTTGGCCAGGTGGCAAGCTGAAGCCCGATCTTCAACCATGAATCCGTGGCTTCCCGGGCTCCATGGCATGATCTGCAGTGCCAGTGTAATATGTTGAATTCAATGTGCACATGTGTTGTCAAAACTGGTTGCCAGACATAGAACCCAACGGTTGAAAGGAACATGGAGAAAACACAAAACAATGGCACAAGATTAAAGGTGCATGTCAAATCTGCAATTGGGTGTGTTGCTTTAAGAATCGAACCCCCGCAAAAGATGTGGGGTTTCCCTTTGGTTTTCCTTCAAAACCACCACAAAAAGGGGTACCAACTCAGAAAAACACGACCCCTAATGCAACCAGAACTTGTTCCGCCCGCCTTCTCCATGATCTGCCCTCCTTGGGCAGCCATGGCCTGCGCAAGAATTCTCCGGAAAATCCGTTTTAGAGCGGATGCGAAGCGTGTTCGTTTCGGAAGCCCGTGGCAACAAACCTGATATTTTTGTTGCCCGCCCAAAATGTTTGATTCTGTTCCATACAGTGGATGGACAAAATCCGTTCGCGCCACTTTGAACTTTGCAGCATGGGAAGCCAAAACAAGGTAACCCCAAAATGGGTTGCCGAATAAGTAGAACCACGGACTAAAGCCAGCGGCCCCCTGGTGGTTTCACTTTGGCCCACGCCCATTTTAGGCGTGGGTCAAAAATCTGGTGTGGAATGCTCCGCGGACGTCTGGAACGAGTCGGTCTGCTTACCCCTTAAAACTCCAAGCCCTGGGGACCTGGGGAAGTTAATCTTTTACAGACATATAGCCCATGTTACCCAAAAAGTTGAAAAGTTGTGTTTTTAAGAGGTAAGTCTGTTGTTCCGGAGCTAGGAAAAACTATGTGGAGTCCTAAGCATGTGTTTATTTTGGCGCAAGATGGATGGCTGGATGGATGGATGGATGGAGGGGGACATGTGAGGCGACCAGGGGCGCACGGCCGGTCGCGGCCACCATCATAGCCACCTTCGCATCATTGGGATGACTCCGGTTGGAGTTCAACACGCTGGCGCCCCTTTCCGGAAGCGGAGGGAGGCACCCGCCGCCGCGCCAGCCAAGAGCAAGCAATTGCCCAGGGATGGCCGAGTGAATCGTTCTGGCGCGGGTTGGTGAGCAGGCCAAAGTTTGCACGCGGAAGTCTGGCGCAGATTTGCCGCTCTTCTGCCAAGGCTGTGTCCCAGGATAACTTTTGACGGTAGTTGGGCCTAGTTGCTCCCTGTCCCAAGGTCACTGGAAGGTAGTGGCGTTGTTGCAGCACAGCACAGCTGCGAGTCATCTCTGCAGGCTTCTTGCGCCCATGTGGAGCGCAGCCACTGACGTGAGCCGAGTTGATGGCAAATTGCTCTGCCGGGTCTGGAACAAGTCTGGAACAGACGCGCGACTGGCTTGCGTGTTTGGAACGCTGCGACGTACCCCAAACAGCTTGTAAAGGAGCACGTTATGCCCTGTGGCTGCTTGCGCTGTTGCCGTGGCAGGCACACCGCTTGATCTGGCACAAGTCCCAGGGCAACACATTCTTTCCCTTCCAGCACCAGACCCTTGGCTACTGAGAAGCGACCGTGAGATGTAACAATAGCTCCGGAAAATACACAGCAGAGCCGAAGAACCTGGGTGGCCAACGCCAATGGCTTGCCGGCCTTTTTCGTTTTTTGAAGGACCCGCGGCAAACTTCAAAGCTGACGTTCGCCAACGGCCCAAACCTGAAGAGTGGTTCCTGGCCACCTGGCCTTGCCTGTAACATAGGTCGGCGGTTCCACGGTCCCACGTTGAAGATCTTCCTTGCAAAGCCATCTTGCCAGCAACAACCTACCGACGCAAGACAGCATGTTTCGCGCAAGAAGTGGCAGTTGTTCAATTCCTGCTGCCGGAAAACTGCAAGCTTCGAAACCTCTTCTCTTTGGCAAATCTTTCGCGACTCCATCGCCGCGCCCTTCTCTGTGCAGCGTGCGCTCGGGAGCCATTGTTGCTGCTGCAGGCCTGCTTGCAAACTTCAAACACAGTTGGCAAAACACAGAAAAACAAGCATTCCACCTGCTCCTGCATGAAGTGATAACCTGAATCAGCATGCCAACCTGGTAATTGCTCTAACCAAGGTCTGGAACGAGAGAACGCAAGGTCTGGAACATGTTTCTAGGCAAGGTCTGGCACGAAGGTCTGGCACAATGGTCTGGAACAAGGACTCGCAGCCATTTGATGAACCACAAAGTCTCAACAAAGATCCCGGTGGGGCTGCAAACAAACCAGGAAGGAGTCCAGGAAAGACAAATCCCGCTTTTAAATCCTTCAATCATCCAAACAAAGAAACCTCATTCCAGCATGGCAGAAAGCACTGATGACCTAATGAATCCTTCGCTGACATGGGCAAATTCAAGCCTCGGTGCAGGGTTGCTTCCAGCAGTAAAAAGGCAGATAGGCGGATAGACGAGTCACAATGAAAACCAGGTACTAAAAGGGTCCACCTAAAACCAAATCCAAAACCGGGCAAACATGGTTTTGTTTTTTTGTTTTAAGGACGGCTGCACCTATTCATGCTGGGGACTATCCCTGACCAACCTGGAGTTTGCGTGTGTCCTCAATGGCTAACTATTGGGAAGCAGCAGGAGTTGTGGTTGACTCATGCCACATGACCTATGAAAAAAAAAGACTTCCGTCCGCAAGAGGACATCGTTATTTTTGGGTGGCCACCCTTCTGGTCCTCCCCCAGTGATTTTGTCAAGAAACATAAGTCGCAATATCAACACACGGTACTAAAGAAGTCTATCACTGCCATACAACAAAAAAGCTATGGTTGGGATCTGTTCACCTTCCCGGCCCAGTGCTTCCAATAACCACTATACCTTTTAGGCCTCCATGACCCTCAAACATGTGGTCACCCTCAAAAAAGGGTTCATGAACCTATTTTTACAGGGTCAGAAGGAGAAGGCAAGTAGTCGTAGCCGGACACCGCGGGTGTTGAAGTGTTGGAACACTGGACCCAAATTTCGGCGACTTGCCTGCGCTGGTGCGGCCATTCCCCATGAGCAGAAAGCTGCAGAGGAAAAGGCAGGTGGCGAGCGAGCAACGAGCGAATGGCTTCGAAAAATATAGAGGCTCCACAATAAGCTTCGGTTCTCAGTTTCCGACCCCAAAATGTACCATTAAAAAGATACACTCAAATCTGACCACCATGTGTTGTTTTGAAGATAACTGGCATGAATGTGCGATCTTGACTTCTTCTTGCCACAAAGTGATTGCCCAGGCTTTCCCAAAACAAAAGAGCTGAACAGCGACTGTGGTTGATGCTGGATGCTGAAACACCGTGATACCCTACACAAATGCAATGGTTTGATTGAGCCTTTCAGCTTTCTAGCTGATTCTAGCTGCAAAGAGCTAAACAGCAGCCGCAATTCCAGACTAGACCTTGAGGAACTACCAGGAGCCCATCTGAGGCGCGGACAAAATAACTTGCTTTTCAAGAGGACGTGGGAAATTTGGGCGTGCCCCGCGTCCTCGCCCAAGTTTGACAATAGACCACCAGTAAAGAATGTTGTCCGCTGCTCATCTGCACGGGACAAAAATACCTGCCACTCAATTTGTACACTTTGTACCAACACGCATCCAATTTTGCAAAAAAAGCTGAGAGACAAAATCAAAACACCAAAAAGGGGATCCCTGCTTTGTCACCGTATCTTGCTGTTTGGTGTTACAATGGTACAAACAAAGCCGTAGCAGGCGTCTGAGTCCAGTAAAGAGCGACGAAATCCAACGGAGACGCTTCTGTTTCGCGCTTTTCGCTTCCCGACTCCGTCGTTTCCAGAGTCGGTCGCTAACCATCTCTGGATGCCTGCAGCTTCAGCGATTGATTGCAAAGCCCTCACGCTTTTTCAAGTGTTTCTCTTTTTTAGTTTCTTGCCTTTTTTGTTTCGTTGTATGTTGTTGTTGTTGTTTTTTTTTTTCCCGTCGTGGGGGGATACACTCCTAATAGCATAAATTCGGGGGTCGAGACTAATGCATCTGCACTCTGGATTTGTTTTGCTGCTTGCGTTGTGATTCTAAAGTGCTTGTGCTGCAACGACTCAGACTTGGCCGGCTGCCTCTGCGCTTTCGAGGAGCCAAGGTGGGCAAAAACATCCACTGGCTGGCTCGTGTACAGGAAGCCTCGACGCCTGAGGCGGCAATCACAGTGGAGTTGTCTCAAAATAGGGAAACCCCAACAATCATAGGTGACCTTTTGGACAAATCGCTGGCGCTGGTAAATGGAATAAAACCAAGTTCAAACCATGCCATCTATTTCTACCCGAACTCACACTGACATAAAAAAGGACACCTATACCAACAATGTCTAGCTTCCGATTCAATTCCGTCAGGGGGTTCCTCGAAACCAAACGTCTGAACACAACTTCTCTGACTGTGATCTTGCGACGCCCTGTAGACAGTGTCGAGTTGACACAGGTTTGGGGAACCTCGGCAAATGCTTGTGTCTTGCAACTTCCCTTTCATGAAAGCTACCACAGGCTTCGCAAGGGACCATGGACCAAACAGCACGGGGAACAACGTTTTTCCGTGATACCAACGTGGTTGATTCCGAGCTCTTATCACTTTCTAGGGGATGCCCTTGGTATCACAGAAAGTTCCAACCAAGCCGATGTGCGACAACCATGCCGAAAAAAGGTCCACATGTAGAACTTCTCGCTGCTGAGGCCTCGTCTATGATGCTGACTGCTTGAGCACGCTAGTCCTGCAATCCATCTGCTCTCAGTTGCTTCTGCCCTGTCACCTAAAGCGGATAGAGCTGTGTGGCAAGCTTAGGCACCTTTGAGTGGGTGTCCTTCATGTTTGCAGAACCGCAGCAAGTCCCCCATACATGGTCAAGTCTTGATAAGAGGCCGTGCTTTTGACCCCCTCCCCCACCAACCCCACATTGCAAGAACGAAAACGCTGAAGCGTAAAAAAAAACACGGCCTAATGTGAACAAGCATCCCCCGAAAAGGAGACCCCAAATCAATCAACCCCAGTTTATTGATAGGGGGTGTCCCTGGGTTAGTGAGGAATCATCACTTTTGGAGGGTAAAACCCCTATCAACAAACTGGGGTTGATTCAGTCAACATTACATAGATTGATGTTCCGGCGGCCTGACAAATATCTGATTCGACGACGTCTGTTGCGCGTCCTCCTGACTCGTCTAGAACCGTCTTTGGCCTGACAATCATGGCGAGACAGGTGTCGCTTGGCTCACATCTTCATATATTTTCCAGCCCCAAATGTAAACCATAGTTTTGGGGGAGAACCTACGTACGTGCTCTGCAATCATCGGATCGCATATCGATCACAATCACTGCAATCTGCTGGCACACACGTCACGCCCTTTGCATCTGGCAAGGTACATGACTCATACCAAATGCTGAAATGATGAAATAGGCTTTGCAGTGAAGCAGAAAACAGCTGGATGTTGACCAGGAAAAGCTTCAATTTGCCAGGCTGTTTACGACCATGGCCGTGCATTTCCCACGGATTTGCGATCAAACCCCGTAGCCTTCAGCGAGCATGGCGTGAAGACTTCTGTAAAGCAATTTTCCGTGGAAGGGGAGAGGAGCAAGCCAGGCTTGTTAGGAGGGCAATCCATCCAAGCAATCTGCCAATTTGACAGAACCGTCCCAAGTAAAGGACCTATGTCAATCACAATGGTAACCTCAGATGAATCTGGAGGACCGTAATCAGGGGTGGGGAACCCCATTCAGGAAAGAAAAACCATCCACTCTTGGATGGCTCTTTTCTACCACCCGGGACCCCCAAACTACCCATTAAAAACAGGGAATTCACCCCATCTTGGAGCAATTATACCCACGGTTCATCGGATGTTTTTGACGGCTCCAGGGAGGCCAGGACCCAGGGCGAAGATGTAGGGTAGCTCATGACAGGCTGCGGTTCAACTCTTTTCACATCACCCCAAAAGGACACTCACTCCACCAAAAACTGGGCCAAAAGCTGTTGAAGGCAAGGCAATACGACTGCAGGGCCGACATCGGCGCGCCTGCTCCAGCTGCAGGACTGTCGCGAAGCGAGGGTCCATAGTACCAAAGCCTCGGGCAAAGCTTCTTGCGGGTTCCGAGGCTGCAAGGGGAATTTGGCCACCTGGACCCTGCAAATTCCCCTGAAACATGGGTTATTGCCCCAAAAATATGGGGGAATTCCCTGTTTTGTGGGTTGTTTGAGGGTCCAGGTACACCATTTCCCTGCCAAGAACCAACGCGGAACCTGAACAACGTTCGTTGAAACAAGGTATTGGGTGTCCCTAGGTAGGTTTCGGGTACACATCCAATGAGTCAACTTTAGGCTTTCAAGTACCCCGCCACCCCCGTACGGATTTCTTTTTCGGCCCTGCTACCAGATCCCACTTGCATAGGGTGGTTTCCTTAGTTGCCTATAGAGGGAGGGATATGGGGAATCACTGGGCTTGTTTTTGCTTGTCATCATTTAGAGGGGCGAACACCCTGGTAATCACATGAAAAGCCGATGTCCCCGCGCAACTTCCCAACTGGTCAAGATCAGAGTCAGGTCCCATGCCCCTTAGAACGCGGATTGAAACATCACATGTTTCAGAGACCAATTTGGTTGGCAGGTGTCCATCTTAGGCCATCTTGTTCAAAGGGACATACAAGAGACCCTATCAGCGTATACCCCAGGCACTTCAAACCAACAAACGATACAAGACTGTACCTTTGCACCATCGTACGTGCGGAAAACTGGGGTTGACTTCCTTTTGGTTCTTGGTATCCGTTGAAGCAGCATCCAAAAGAGGCTCGTTGTCTCAATGCTCTTCGATCGTCGCTTTTCCCGTATAAGACGTTTTTCGATTTGCAAAGAGACTCCCAGAACGAAACCGCCCTGCTTCCCGCGGTCGGAGACGTGATTTTCCCAGCATTTCCTGCATCTCATGCAGATTTTCGCCCGCAAAATCTGCCAGAAGCCCTTGAAAAACGCTACACAAACCTAAACCAGCGAGGATCTAGTTCCCGGAGTGGCCTGAACCCTGAGCTTCTGCAAGCAGCTACCTTGAAAGACATCCCCGAAAACGAACCGAACCCACAGGTCTGGGAAGAGTTCCACCTCTGCACAAACATCATCACCCCAGAAACCAGACACCCTGGCAACAAGCAACGCCCGAAACCAAGGAAAAACACAGAACCCCAGAGGGCTGTTGCAAATGGTGGGTTGGTGAACGCGGAACCCCGGCAAAGGGCACCTGGCTTGGACACCTATGTCCAAGCCAGTCAAAGCTGGCAAACCAGACACCCTACAAAACCCTCCAAACACCAACCCAAAAAGAGAGGTCTGTTCAAACAAAGAAAGAAACAAGCAAACAAGCACAGACACACAAAACACGCAGACACACAAAACACACAGACACACAAACAACGCCGATTCAACAGCCCATGGAGGGTGCATATTTTGGGATACATGGGATTGTGTGTGGGACATGGGAACTGACCAATAAACCCTCCACTTGTAATTAAGGGGGGTCCCCTTTTTAGTGGGATCCACGTTGCGCCGCTGAATAATATCTGGGGGGGGGGCTTCTGAGGGTTCGCCGTTGTCAAGTTGAGTCTGTCTTTTTTGGAGTGTACCTCCTGGTTAGTCGTGTTAAATGGACACCAATTCCACACACCCAGTCCCAGAAGGCACCTGAATACCTTCTAACAAAGTACTTAGACCTGGAGTCTCCTTCTGACCCGAAATAGAAATGGGTCAATGACCAAGCATTATTCTGGGTAATGACCCACCAGTCAGAAGGAGATTCCAGGAAGTCCTTTTTGCCCCAGATGGCCATCCTCAGGAGGTAATCCCTTGGACTTTTGGGAGTTCCTCCGCCGAAAAACAGAAAAACCGCCACCAAACCTAGAGTCTCCTTCTGACCCTAAAAAAGTGGTTGGTCATCACCCAAAACGATATTTCGGGTCATGGAGACTCCAGGTAAGTATTTAGGTGTTTCTCCAAGTTGCCCAGTTCCTTCAGGTGGGTTTCCTTGTGCTTTCCCCTGAAAACCATCCCAACATTTGACCCCTTGGGTTTGTCCAGGGTCGTGGAGACTCGATTTTGCCCGCCAAAACGGGAATCCTCAGGAAATTTAATTCCTTGTTCCTAACGCCGGAAAACCCAAAGAAAACGCCGGCGCCGAGTTCACATTCCACCGAGGTCGCCGCTGGTGTTGCGCTGCACGGAGCGGAAGCCCAGCCAGCGCCGGCCCGAGGGGCTCAGCAGCTGCACCGAGGGCTTGGTCACCTTGAGGCGAACGAGCTGCACCCGGGTCTGGGGAATGAACTGGAAGGGGATTTTCTAGGAGACCATCTAGGTTTTTAGACAGGTTAGAAAAAGGGTGCCCTCCTTTCTGTAGTCTATTCTAGTACCCTAGTCTATTTCCAGTGATAGATGCCCCCCTAGGTTAGAAGAAGCGTGCCCTTCTTTCTGTACGTAGTCTAGTAGGGGAACCCTCCCCAAAAGAAGGGTAAAAGGGCACTACTGGGGGACCTAGCCGTGGATGCTGAAAACCAGCAAGTCTTGGCCCCGGATCTGAGTAGAACCTGACACTCGCCCACATGAGACCCACCATTTCGAGAAGCTCTCAGACCGAACAAGGCGGTTGCTCGCTGGGTTTCTGGCACCGGCGCGGTTGGCACAGACCAGGTTATTCAGCAAGTAGTCTGGCCAGTCCTGTGTCGTGATTCACGGTTGATAGCAGGTTGGTCTCCAAATCTGACCGTGTAACACGGGCCGCTGCCCTTCAGTCCCCAAACTTCATGGCTTGAACCGCTGTAGTTGAAAAACAACCTCCTTCTGGTTTCTCTCTGGGGAACCAGGGTCTGGTTGTTTAAACTTGTAAGGGTTACAGGGTTAAGTAAACATTCATGCAGCCAAGTCTGCTTGCTTACTTTACTCCGACAACTACGTAAACTTTGCTCAAACTCGAGAAACAACAAATGGGGCCATTTTAGTAAGACATGTTACAAATCACGCATCCAAGTGGTTTAGAGGGGGTTAACCCCCCCAAAAGCAATTCGGAGAGCCCAACATGAAACCCCTTTCTACTTCCTTTAAGCAAGGGCCCCTCAAAACTCTGGTCGACTGATTTGGTTGCGTTGACCCCTCCCCCCCCCAAAAAAAAACAAAACGCCCCAACGAAACAAGGCATGCGCTTCAAGGGACCCAAAGAGCAAATCCCAACAGCGGGAGCCCACCCAAAAAGTCACCAGAAGAGAACAAAAACACGGCCCTCTCCCCCCCCAACAAACAAAAGAAATGTTAATTACAAACAAACAAAAAACGGAGAAACAACCCCTCCTCCGCCCTCCCCCCCCATATGATGGACAGTGAGGGTCTATTTTGCAACCTCCTTCATTTCTGGTATTGGCTGTTTAGGGCTCTTGGCTGCAACATATACTCTAAGGGTCCATGCAATGCCCCCTTCCCCCCCGCCCCCTTCCGACACCCCGCCCCCCCCCAAAAAAAAACAAAACAAAAACACACACACACACACAAAAAAGAAGAAGAGTAAAAACAAGCACAATCGCTCCCCCCGACCCTCAAAACAATAGAAGAAGAAGCAAACACATATTAAGGGACATCCCGTAGCTACGGGAAGATGGCGAGCGTCATCGGGCGCCAGGTTGCCGCCGGCGGCCAGGCGCTGCAAACTCGGCACCTGCCCGGCAAAGCCCCAAGCGAGTTTTGCCGAAAAGGGAAACCATGGCTGGCTTCGCACCCAAGTACCAAGTGCCAGGATAAAAAGGGCACCGTTTGTCTTGCGGTAGCTGATTCTGCCTTGGAAAAAAACACCCAAACGCAGATTCACTTTCATGAAGCAAGCCAAAGGTATAGGGAACCGCAGGTCTGGGGATTCTCTGCCCGTGGATTCGTCGATGTGGGCGTTTCGCAAAATGATTGGGCCTCTCCAGGGGTGCTCTCTTGGTTTCTCAAACACCTTCCAAACAGGTGTCCCCTTCAGAACATGTGTTCCTGGTTTCCCAACCGGTGTCTCTTATGTTGAGGATCACGTGCTCATTCATGGGCGGCTTCATACAATAGACATTCCGAAAGCTGGACCGCGGGGTTCCAAAAGGCGGGCCATGGCACTGGGGGGCGTGCCATAGAGTTCTCTCGGTTTCCTTCAAACGCGAACCAAAAAGATCCAAAAGCACACCCTACAAAAGACATATATACATATATATGTATATATATATATATGTATTAATTCGCTTACATTGGTTGTCCAAGTTCCCATCAAAGGGGTCCATGACCAACGCTACTGTAGCAAGTAAAGGAACTGACTCGCCTTTTGACCATTTGCAGTGGTTCCCAAAGAGGTCCACTTGTTGATGCGTGCCCCTCAGAACACCTGTGGAAACTGGAGGTCTGGATTATGCTCGAGTGAGGTCCCCCTAAAGCAAGTACTGGATCTCCCCTTCAAAAGTTGCAATTTGGTGGTGGTGCTCATTGAAGCTGCTGCACGGCCAAAAAGGAACTCCAAACCGCCAATTGCAGGGAAGCTGCTGAGTACGTGTGGGGATCTCCGCCCTTTAGTTAATTGCATAGTTTGGAGTAGACCACTTTTCCATTGTGACGGTCTCTTTGAACCCCTGTCTCTTCTTCCCGGACCGGTTTGGACGGCAATCCGACCCAAACCTCACCAGTGGAGCCGGAGGGGTTTCCCATGTTGAAAAAGCCAACGAATCGAATCCAAACCAATCCGAACCATCTGGGTAAAGTGGTCTACCCAAGACTATTCAAAGATCTGAAAGGGCTCTTTGATCCCCACCTATTCAGCTTCCCAATTGGTTTGGAGCCCTGTGGCTTGGAGGGTTTTCCCATGCGGTTTGGCCGGTCGAACGAGGTTTACTTTGTGCGGCCTTGAGAATGGCCTCGATCAACAGCTCCAGCCCACGTTGTCCGATGCGGTTCTCCTCCGGCCGATTCGGGACCCCAGTCGGCATCTGATTGGCTCGAAGTGGAAAACATCCGTGAACCGCCGAAGAGAAAACAAACTTCATGAAAAGGATCCTTGATCATGGGTCGCAAAACCCCCAGAACGTGGCGTAGCTAGAATTTAGGGAAAAGGTATGGAATTCGGGTCGCCTCTCGTGGGTGGGGAATTGAAAACGTCCCAAAGGAAAATCGAAGCTCTAACAGCGTTTAAAAGCAAACACAATAAACACCCCAAAACCCGTTGGTAACCCGCAGGTTTTTGAGAAGCACAGGGTAGCCCGTCCCCATTTGATATCCCATGAACAAAACCGCCTTTTGGTGTCTTGTTTTCTGGGTACCCACACTGTTGGCCTCCTTGGGGGGAACTGCAACACACACGAACAAGTACCCATTTCCCGGCTTCCTTCCGAAATCAAACGCTATCGGGTTCCCCTACCTTCAAACTGGGGTAGACCAAAGCTCATATTTTCGATTCTGCTTCAAAAGACACTACTGCCAACACTAAAGTGGATTGGCCAGAAGCGGTCTAAACTTTCTTGCTTACCACTACACTGGTCTTGCCAAAAAGTTTAAAGTCCAAGAATTCAGGGAGTGAGCCGTTGTCAACACGAAACTCATAAAATTGCTGAGAAGATCCCTGGCAACGTTTTCCGAAAGCCGTCCTGGATCTGAAGCCACACCATGCTCTTGGGCCCCTTTTGCAGCGCTTTCGCCATGGCCTCTGCTCCTCCGTCGCCCATCTTGGCACTACCTCAGGCTCCAGCGGCCTCCACGTGAAACCAAACCAAAAACAGCACCCCTCATGACCCCAGATGAATCAACCCGGTTGATTCATAGGGACATGTTTCCGGTTTGAGTGGTTGGAATCAGACCACTTTTTTTCAGGGGCCCAAGACCACACCCAAATGTTCATAGAAACTGGTTGGTTGATGCATCTGGGGTCAACATTACCGTAATTGGAAGTTGGGGGAAGGGAGGGGGAGGGGAGGGTCCATGTTGTTTCTAATGGGTGCGATGCTTTTCTTCGGAGACCCCCCCCCAAAAAAAAAAATCACTCACCGCCCCACTGGCGATCCCACAGATGCGTTGTTGGGGAGCCCATGCATGGCTGGGATGGCTGGAAGGCCACAAGGAGGGGGTCGAGGGCCTTCTTGGAGGTACCATCAAATTCAGGCCAAGACGAAAAGTGGCCTGGACATCAGCTTAGTCTGTGATTGGCTCCCCCCCCCCCAGAAAAAAAAAAGAAAGAAAGAGCTTTTTCCTGGAAAGTTCAGCCACAAGGAATATTGCCCCTCCACTCCATTATTCTCACCCATGAAGGCAAGTTTGGACTGCGAAGGCTGTCTCAGCATGCAACAAAAAGCAAGGGTTCCCTATGCTTTCCCATCAAAAATAAATTCCGAAAGGGCCCACGTGGGCCCACGTGTCTATGAAAAGTTTCACAAGTGCAATGCCTGCGAAGCGGCCCACGTTCAAATGCTGCAGCGGGCATCCTGCGCATAGGAAATCACAGGTCTTGGGGTGATGGCTTCCGCTAGCAAGCCACATCCGAAGTCGAAGCTGGGGCCCACGCCCACATGAGACTATGGGAGGAACAAAATGAATTGCCCTTTATATATTCAGCTTCTTTCTAGTGGGGGGGGGGGTGGTTTGGTGGTTTCGAGATCAGCAAGTGGCTTCCATTTGCCCTCTAACTACAAGAATCAGGGGTTCAACTCTAAAGCCAAAGCACCAACCACCAACTAGCTCTTACCTTTTCAGCCCTTGGCATGAAAGCGATTGATTTTTTTTTTGCAGGCCCTGCCAAAAACGAGCAAAGCCGAAAGACGACAAGAAGTAAAACTGTCTAAAAGCATGATCCACCCATCAGTGAGGTTACCTGACTAACCAAAAAACACATCCAAAAAGCACCCGGAGTCTCCATGACCCTTCAAAAATGAGGCCATTATTACCCCAAATAATGATTGGTCATTCACCCATGTTTATTTCGGGTCAGAAGGAGACTCCAAGCAGCGCCACCATGGGCCGTGAGTTGAGCAAAAGGCTTCTGTCCTTCATCCAGGCCGGCGGCGAGCGCCGCCACGCCCTGGCGGCCTAGGCAGTTCCGCGACACGTCCAGCGACGTGAGCCGCGTCTTGGCGGCGCCTCGAACGCGCCGAAAGCGCGGGGCGCTAAGGCTGGGCCAGGGGGGGAGGTGGCTTTCTCAAGGTGAGACGCTTCAACTTATGAACAAAGGAAACTGTTGCAAGGAAGCTTCGGGCATTTTGAGGGGGGTCCGACGCTTCAACTAGTATCAAAAGAATTGAAAAGAACGCATTTGAAGGAAATCCGGCTTTTCCTGGCTTCAAATGTATATATATATATATATACACATATATATATATACATATATATATGAAAGAAAACCATTGAAGCGGGACACCTTCGCCAACATGCCCCCAAAATGTTGGCACTTTAGGGATCTCCGCTGTGTTTCTGGAGCTCTGAAGTCCTTTAATGGCAGTGGCATGGATGGGGTCCCATCCAGCTGAAACAACATCAACTGGGCTTGTCAAAAACTTGGAATCTTGAGATCGGATTGAAGGGGCTAAGCAATCAGGTGGGCTGCAATCGCGGTTCGATTAACTACATTGACCCTCATTTTAATTCATCAGAATATATATATATATATATCCAATGGTGAGTATTTGTGGTGTCCCCAAACACCATAGGAATTTTGTCAGTGAGTAGCCCCCAAATCCCAAACCATTAGTTTCGCTTTCAAACCGACCCATTCATTCGGGTTCCCTCCAAAAAACAGACACCCCCCTATTCTGCATGTGTCCAGTTCTTTAAGGCTACCCCCCCCCTTTGTTTGCAGGTTTTCACACAACACCCTTGCACAATTTCGGCGGGTCCCCCCCAAAAAAGAAACAACCAACGACCCCCCTCCCCCCCCCTCCCCCCGCCCTTTCCCCCCCCCCCCCGCCCTTTCCCCCCTTCCCCCCCCCCCCCCCCGGTTTCACGTGGCGTCTGCCGACCAACGACCGCGCGGGCGCCAAAAACGGAAACCACGCCTGTGAGCACTGCCGCCAGGGCATCGGCGCCGAAGAGGCCGATGCGGTTGTTGGCCACGTCCAGCTCCTGTCGATTCGTTAAGAATCCGCAGGCAAGCATAAATGGGGGGTGGGTGGGGGGTTATAGTCTTTGTGAGACCCTTTTTTGCTGTATCACAGAAGTGGATTCCATTTCAACCACAGCTCTGTTCTGGGGAGCCTGCTCAGACAGGGATCCATGGATGGTTGGAATAAGGTTTTAGGCTCCATGTTCGTGCGGCCAAGGCAATTTCCCATTCAAACCCTCTGATCTTCCGAGAGTGGCAGGCTCATAAAAATGCACTGATTAGCAACTTGTGAAGGGGAGATCCTTTCTTGTCAATGACTGGCAAGCAGACATGTCCATGTAAACGTACACCAAGGTCCCAGAAAAATCATTCCTTTGCAGCCAAAGAATGTCTGGTTAAGGTATCATTTTAGGGTGCCACGAATTATTTACCTAGAGTCTCCTTCTGACCCTGAAAAAATGGTTGGTGATTACCCAAAATACATGGTTGGTCATTTACCCATTCCTTTTCAGGGTCATGGAGACTGCGGGTAATTATTTAGGTGTTTCTCCAAGTTGACCAGTTCCTTCAGGTTGGTTTAGTTGTGGCTTCCCCTGAAAACCAACCCAACATTTGACCTCTTGGGTTTGTCTAGGGAAAACTTGTTGTGGCTGTGGGTTCCTTTTGGCTTCCCTTATCCACGCAAGGGGTACCATCTAAAAAACCGCCACACCCATGTTGCGAACCATGGGACTCTCATTCCTATCGTGGATGTCTACGAAATCCGAGATCGCACCGCGAAATGAGTACCATGGTTGAAACCATAAGGTTTGTTTGTATTTGCAGGGGAATCGGATCAATCGAAGGTTTCTGAACGGTCGTGCACGATCTGTCCATCAACCGTGGCACTTGACAGGGACCCGGTCCCTACAAGAGGAAGTTTATCTTCCATGTACCATCCAGGTGCTATGTTGGTGGGAGGAAGACTGGTTTTAGCATACGTGTCCTTTTGAACAAATTTAGATGGCACTGGTAGATGATTGGAATCAAACTGAATCCCATTTTCAAACAAACCAGTAGCTTCCCCGGTAGGGAAAAATGGTGCCCAATGCTGGTTCTAAGCCCCTCCCAGTGCTTCCAGGCAAGCCACCTCTGGTCAAGTACCTGTAGTGGCAACTGGGGCATCACATATGAGCACGGCTGTCAATTAAGGACCCTTTGATATCAGAATTCGGTGGGGACGCACGTCCACCAACCACTTTGAGGGGTTTTCTGTTATTATCGTGGATGAACATGGTTGTGCTTCCTTTGGTTCCCCTTTTAGCCAGCCCCAAAGGGAGTACCCAAAAAAGCACACACACAAACACACAACCCAGGCAACCCACCAACCCACCAAACAAACAAACAAACAAACAAACAAACAAACACACACACACACACACACACACACACACACACACACACACACACACACACACACACACACACACACACACACACACACACACACACACACACACACACACACACACACACACACACACACACACACACACACACACACACACACACACACACACACACACACGCACACGCACACGCACACGCGCACACGCGCACGCGCGCACACGCGCACACGCGCACGCACGCACGCCAACCAACCAAGCAAGCAAGCAAGCAAACAAACAAAAGACAGAAAACAAACACAAAAACAAAAACAAACCAAGCAAACAAAACAAAATAAACAAAACCATCAAAACACACAAACAAACAAACGAGCAAGCAAGCAAACACACATAGCAAAACACGCACATAGTCCAAACAAAGCAAACAACTAATAACAAACAACACAAACAAAATCACAAGCAAATCACAAGCAAGCAAGCAAGCAAGCAAGCAAGCAAGCAAACATAATAAAACAAACACACAAACCATTTCAAAACAAACAAAAACAGAGCAAACAAAACAAACAAAGCAAACAAAACAAACATGGACACACCAACACACACCAAAACACACACACAAACACCCATCTCTGGAGACAAGCTTTAGGTCGCTTTGATGACGTTTGGCCTGCAGTTGCGTCAGAAAGGCGGGGGTCTTGTCCGCTGTGCTTCGGCGTGAGGCGGAGGTCCCAGGCCCGTTGGATGCGAAGCTGCTTCGATTGCTTGACGCCCTCCTCAGGTGGCCCAAGACATGCCTATGTTAGGTGGCTTCCTCGTGTTTTTTTGAAAACCAGGCAAAAAAGGTACCCTCAAAAAAAGACACCCCCGACATGGCCTTGGCTTGCTTTTTTCGAGGCTCAAACCCCAGTCCCTTTCTGGTTGGTTGCCGGGTCCTGAAGTTCCATCTTGGGGTTCTGAGTGAGCGCTGAAGACCTTCTGGCAAACTCCCAAGATGTTTTAGGTCGTTTTCACTTAACATCACACCCAAGAGGAAGCTGAGAATTTGGATTGCAGGTGATGCTCAGAAACCACGCTACGAGAAGCAATCCATATCTCCAGCAAGTCAGGGGCGACTTGGAAAAGCCTTGACGTCTATGGCAAGAAGGGTAAGTTTAACGAAGCAGCGCCCAAAACGCATTCACAGTTGGTTCTACCACAATGGTTATGAAGGTGCGTATGGGCGTAACCATAGTACCCATTGAGCCGGGGTGTAGAACCACATACTAAAATTCCCCTCTTGGGAGTTTTGGGTGCTGCTCAAGTGAACCCCCCCCCAAACAACAAGCTCACCGGAAAAGCTTCTCCACCACAGAGCTTCTCTGGGGGCAAAGGCTCCATGGCTTTCAGCTGGGTAAAAGTTGCAAAAAGGAAGCGACCTGCCAGTGTGATTGGGTGTTCATTGTTCATGCTACTTAAGTAGGTCATAACCATGGTTATAAAGGGACTAACCCCAGTTACCCCACTTTTTGTTTGCCTCAAAATAGGGGGACCCCAAATGGTTGCTTCTCTTTGCTTGATTTCCTGCTAAAACCAACCAAAAGGCGATCCACTAAAAACAACATAACCATGGTTCTAAGATACATACTAAGTTGGTTGAAGCCCCACGTAGGCCAATGAGCCCGAGCGTCTGGCTGCGCTCGAACTCGAAACATCTTAAGCCCACTTCCAGCAGACCGTTCGCCTCAGCCGCCATCAGGTTACTTTACATGTGCCTTTCAAATATCATCCCAAGAAACCTGGTTACAAAATGACCCAAGGTGTTTAGATGAACATTGGGTCATTTTTGAGGGTACCCTCTAAAAACCAGTGTTTGACAGGAAACCAAAAGGAAAACCACTTTGTTTTTTGGGGGGTCTCCCCAACAAAGAATGCCCACATTACCCTCCCACCAATTGGAACCTGACTTTCGGGGGGTCCTGGAAGACTACTTTCCTTTAAAGCGACCCCCCTGGTCGCTCTCAAACATCTGTCCAGGTGCTTCAAAATACCAAAGAGGCCCTTCAACGCTCCAAAAATTTGCAATGGCAAGGCCTCGGGCCCCGGCGATTTTTGTGACGCCTTCGTCCTGTCAAAGTGTTCACAGGCCACATATCTCGCACATTGGAATGGGAAGCACTCGAACCAAAATGGGTGCAAATAAGTCCATGTAAATGCCGTCAGTTCCCGTGGGCCATGGTCGATACCTGGAGTCCCCTTTTCACCCTTGAAGAATGGTTGGTCATCACCCAAAATAATAGTTGCTCATTGACCCATTTTTCAATTGTCATGGAGACGCCAGGTAGGTCATGTGTCTAAAAAGCCTCTATGAAGCGGTTGACCAGTGTCCCTACCAGCCCTAAGTAAAGGAATCGGTACTTTGATGGCACATATGCCCCTTTTCCTCCATAGGGCTTGCTGCCTTTCAGGACGGATCCAGCAATGATCAGGCTCCCTGGTTTGGATTGGAGCTTATCGGTGGCTTACCACTAAGAACCCAAGGTTCAAGCCCCTCCATCAATCCAAACCAAGGGCTACCTGATGCAACTTGCCACATAGGAAACCCACCATGGATCGCTATGAGAACTTCATCTCGAGATAGATGGTCACAACATGACCCAATGGACTCGCATGAAACTGCTCCTACCACCCGGTGATCACCCCACCCCTTAAAGTAACCTGGCAGTTTTGGTCTACTCGTAGGAAACCTCGGGTGTGTGTTTGGGGTGATGTGTTTGGGGGGTCTCTCAAAAAAGGGGGCTGTGATACTTGCCATCTCGAAAGCAGACTTGGACGTGCGGCTGTTTTCCTGTGGGTGTCCCTTTAAAACCATACGAACGGGAGGTCAATGCTTTCAGAAACTCCCTTTGCCACAAAGCTGGCTGGCTCCTCAATGGCATTTCCGCGCAAGCCCAAGCGCGTGAGCCTGCAGCCTCAGGGAAAGACCGTTGGTATCAACGGCCGTTCTGGGCCCCAGACCAAAATCGGAATACCTGTCTTTGACCCATTTTTTAAGGGTCATGGAGACTCCAGGGACTCGTGCAGCCAGCCAAGAAGGACACAACAACGAACCAAGACAAGGTCACCCCAATTTGAACCAAGCCAACCGCGGAACAAGTAACCAAACCCTAAGAACGAACCTAAACCACTGGCCACCAAACCCTGGACAAATTGAGCTCAGTGATCCCGAGCTGCAAACCGCTTTTGCCTCTCGAACCTGATGTTGAAACCAACCGAAGCTCACCAATCCTGGGCTATCCCACTGTTTGTCTGTCTCCAAGGGGATTGCTAAGGGGATCGAAGTAGTGGCCATGGGGAAAAAAGGGCAGCCTTTTTCGGTTGGCTGAGTTTCAAGGGGAACCCTTCCCACAAAAACGCAGAAAGGCCGCCACTGGGTATCGGAAGTGACAAGTCAGAAAACCAACGCTGCTGTGCATACATTCTTAAATAGGAACACCCGAGTGCCCCAGATTGTCTCAATATGGTGGGCGCCCTAAAATTGGCTTCGGTCTTGGTTTCCCTTTACAATCCGAACGAAGGACTCTTGAAAAAACCACGAACGCCTGAAGTAAGGTCCCAAAGTATATTTGTTTGTTGAAAGCCCGAAAAGGGTGCCCGGCTTTCTTCAACAATCCGTACAAGACAAGTCAACAAATATCTCTATATATATATATATCTCACGCCCACACACACGCACACACACACACAAACCCGTAAGACCCCCCACGAAACAAGGTATTCGGCTCAAGTTACGCCCAAGTCAAGAATGTTGCCCTCTAGAAAGGGATTAAAGTTTCGACTGCAAAGGGCACCAGGGCACCAACTCATTCGGCCTGGATTGCCCAAACTGGTTCTCTCTAACATCCCCGTAACTGCACCAGGGTCCAAAAGGCCATCTTTCTGACGGCCAACTGATTCCCCCTGCAAAGCGAAGACTCCGGTTCGGTGCGCGGACCGCTCCGATGTAGGACCCTACCCCACTAATATAACCGACTCAGTGGACCCATTGACCTGGTTTAGGTCCACCCTTCAACAACCCAAAGGAGAATAGCGAAGGTTTACCTCCTGGGATCCACTGGACAAGTTTCACCACTCCCCGCACAGGTGTTAGATAGATGGACGATGAGTGGGGCTGCTGTATGCAGCCATTCCGCTTTTTCAAGCCACCACTGGGATCTGTATAGTGGTAACCCAGAACCACCCTTTAAAAACCAAAAGAACAACCGCTGTTTACCTGCCGGACCCATTTCCCTGGATTGGTAGGTAACCAAGAGCTTGCCACCCTTTCAACCCCCAAAGGAAAAAATCCGAAGGTTTACCTCGCGTCCCCTCTGCGCCCCACCCAGCACCCCCGCAGCCCCCCCCCCCCCCTCCGAGCTTCCCCCCCCCACCCCCACCTCAGCCCTGCAGCTCCCCCCGCAGGCCTTGCGGGTGCCTCAGCGCGGCGGCCAACTTCCCTGCGCCCTCTGCGCCCACCCGGCAGCCGCACAGCTCCAAGCGCCGCAGCGGGATCCCTACGACGCCGGCTTGGGAGAGGATGGCCGGATGGCACGCCGCGCGGACGGGATGGATGATATGGCTGCGGGTCAAAACCGTTGTGGTTGATCCCATTTTGGTTGGGATTGGTGAATTCACCGCCCATTTTAGAACCTATTTTAGTGAGATTGGGATGTTGACTGGGGGTACCTGGAGTCTCCATGACCCTTTAAAAATGGGTCCATGACCCCATTGTTTTGGGGTAATGACCTCATGTTTTAAGGGTCATGGAGACTCCAGGTACGGGACTTTGACCCATGGCCATATCCTGACGAACCTGCAGCTTCCCTTCAATTGGATTAGGCTAATTGGGGGGGGGGTCCCTTGAATCCAGCTGAGAGAACAGCAACTTGTGTGGTTCTTGGGATGACACCTCGGGCGTTTTGGTTGTTCATTTTTGTCCCAGAGAAGGGGGAGTTCCCTTGAATCAGGCACCCTGTGCTGTGGATGGTTTTACACAAATCCAGAAATCGCACGAAATGAGTTACCGTGGTTAAAGCCAGAAGGTTTGCTGGTATCTAATGTAGGATTGAGTGCATCCACAGCATCCCGGTGCTAAAGAACTTTGAGCTTCCCTTCAATTGGTGGTTTGGATTGGTTGGGAGTTGAACCCGTGGATCTTGAGGGCAAATGGGAACCCCTAGACCACCAAACCACCAATCCAAACCACCAATTGAAGGGAAGCTGAAACCTACCAACTGCAGGATACGGAGGTTTTTTCTCATCAAAAGCATTTGACAACCCGGAGAGCTACAAAACCAGTGGTGATGAAGGGTTGGTTGGTTCGCTGACGTGCCATCAACTTTCCTGTTGGTGGTTTGGATTCGTGGTTATGGGGGAGTGTGGTTTGCCTCTCGCTCTTGTACGTAATGCTATGAGAACCAGGGTGAAACCCCTCGAACCACCATTCCCAGCCACAAACTAAGGCTTATTTCGAGGGCTGCGTGGAACGGTGGTTCCAAAAGCGGGGATTTGGATACACAAAATTCCGCCTCTCCGCGCTGCAAACGGCATGGGACTGAAGGAATTGACCCAAAGAAAAGAGCGAGCCAGACACTTCCACTCAGGCGTTGGTTGTGAGGCTGGGAGCAACCCTTACGGGTTGCTTGATTCGCAGATACAATAACTCCCTCTGCTTTCTTTGCTTGTCCACGTCTAAACAGTATGGAGACAACATCGACCCTGCCTCTGACGTGTTGCAATCTGTGCGCAGATGGAACACGGGCACCTCCCCCCCGCCCGAAAAAGACAAGTCGCACTGGGTGTCCTTTTGGTTCCTTTGTATGAAAAGTTCAACCAGAACGTGGGTCCAAAACCGACTCGCCACTCGAAGGTATGGCATGTTAGGCCTGCCATGATTGCGTCTGCCAGATGCCCGGCACCATCACTGCCGGCATATGTGTACCTGAGCGGAAGTGGATGCCAATGTTACCGCTGGATCCCTAGGTTCCCCGGCTACCCAAGGGTGCTATGTACAAACAACCTTGGCAGGGCAGAAATGGCGCAGAAACAATTCGCATCTGCCACAAGCCCAGGCCAGGGTCGGTGAGAGAAGGGCTAAGCCAAGAAGCCAAGACCTGCACCCGTCCAGCCATATTCAGTTGAAGGGACGAAAGTTAGCGCTTTGTTCAGCTTCCCCTTTCTTGGTGTCGATCCACCCACCCCACGTCACCCCCACCCCACCCCTTCTACACGAAGCCCCCAAGCCACGAGTTATACGATTTGTTTGGTAGGTTCATATGAAAGAAACTCCCCCAACAAAAGCAACACATCGAGAAGACTCCACGCCAAGGTCCCATCCTGCCACGGTCACACCAACAAACCCAGGGCCGAATTCCGAATGGCGAAAAACGGGGACGTACCACAACTACACAAAAAGGAACAGGCCACATTTTGTGTATAGGTAGGGGTTTGGGTGGCAATGGACAACATCCGGGGTTCCGAAATCCCTGGATGCCCAAAATGGCAAGCCTGAAAGGGAAGCCAACCGAAACCATCGACATGCTCTGCCCAAAACCTGGGGTCATCGAAAGGGCGACAAATGACCAGCTTGAGGTTGCTCATCCCTGGCCGCCGGTGTCCTACAATTCGTGAAGCTTGCCAGCGCCTGGAAGGCAAGCCAGTATAGTAGCTAGTAGATAGCCCATGTTTATAATCATTCAAAGGTTTCTCTGTCTGAAAAATGATTGGAACCTAGTCCATGGGCATGTGTCAATGTGTCAACATAGGGGGACCCCACAAATGGCTGGTGTCCTTATGGTTTCCCTGTAGAGGGTTCCCCATAAATACCAACAAACGTTCTGGTTTCAATCACGGTTTCAAATCAGGTTCGAAATGGATTTTGTCTGTCCACAGTATGGAGTATGGATACGTGCAAAAGCTACCACAGTTTCTCTAATCGGCTGGCAAAGCTGTTTTCTCAAAACCGCCCCAAATGTTTACGTCTTTGTCCATGACATGCCTTTGTACCTCCGGAGGATGGCCTTTTTTGGGGGCACAAAGGTCGTGCGGTACCTCCTTAGGTATCAAGGGGACCCTGTGGGCAATGTTGATACGAATCAACCCCAATTTGTAAATAGGGAGGTGTTTCTGGGTTTAGCGGGTAATAGTCACATCACTTTTGGAGGGAACACACCTGGGTTTAGTGGGGAATCAGACCACTTTTGGAGAAAACAACCTGGGTTTAGTGGGGAATCAGACCACTTTTGGAGGGAACAACCTGGGTTTAGTGGGGAATCAGACCACTTTTGGAGAAAACACCCTGAATTTTGTGGGGAATCCCACTTTTGGAGGGAACACCCCCTATACACAGGTCAACCTGAAGTCAACCGTGACGAAAGTTTCAACGAACCGCTTGCCGCGCTGCTCCAGGTCGAGCTCCTTGAGGTTGGGCAGGCCCTTCTGCAGAAGCTCCGACAAGAAGCGCACCCCCTCGGCCTGCGGAGACGAGACTCGCGAGACGCGGCACGAAAAAGAAGAGCAGACACAAGAAGAAGAATCAAAGAAAGAGAAATCGAAAGGAAGGCAAAGAAGAAGATATTCAAGAATCAAGAAGATTCAGTCCCTACTTGGAGGGGCGATTGAGTACTTAGTAGTGGGTAATAACCATGGTTATAACCCACGAAAGCCATGGCGTTCAGTGGGTTATAACCAGGCTTGTTAACCACTTACTAAGTGCCCGGTTCCTTTAAGTAGGGGTAAGAAGGGTAGTGGGAATCCAGGATGGTCCCACCTACTTAAGGTAAAGGATTCCCACTTTTAGTGGTGACACCCCCGCCCATTAGCCAACCAGACTTTGTCAGTCCGGGGTTAGCTTTAGGGGTCCGTTTCTATGTTTCCATTCCACTCTCAATGTCAGTAGATGCACTTCTATGTTTCGACACTGGTTGGTGGACGATAGAACCCTTCGCAGTTGGGTGGTTTCTGCCATAAGGATTTCATCCATCCTAGCTAGAAAGGATTTCGTCCACTGGAACCAACAGGGGTACCAGGGGCAACAGGATTAGTATGGTACTTTCCACTTCTGGGAATGTCTACTGAGGTGTGAAGCTCGAAATCATATGCACCAGAATGCTCATTCGAGGGGCGAAGTTGGGCTTGCAGAGATTTCCCTAGTCAAATCAAATCGGTGAGCTGATGTCAATGGAGAATGTTAATGCTTGGTTATTCTTCTTTAATCCAAACATAGTGTGGATGGACGAATCCATTCGCACCACCTAAGAAACTCTGGTTTCTGATGATTCCCCGGTAAATACCAACAAACCTTGAACGGCTTTCGTCCATCCGCAGCATGGATACATCCATCAACTACAACAGTTACTGTTCTCAAATCTCGGATTCCCACTACCCCTCTTTCCCCTAGGGATAATCCAAACAGACTGTGGATGGACGAGATCTACTTGGTTGAAACTAGCTGTTCGTTGGTATTTGTTGCGGCGGAATCACATCGGAAAACCCGGGGTTTCAGCAGGGTGCTGCGAGTCACGAAGCGGATTTCGCCACCCTCCACCAAGGGGAACCCCTCTTCACTTCGTCAACTTGGGCACTCTACTCCTACCTGGAGTCTCCATGACCCCTTTAAAAATGGGCCAATGACCAACCATTATTTGGGGTCATGACCCACCATTTTATATCGGGTCTTTAGGGAGACTCCAGGTAGACCTGGCCTCCCGAGTCCCAAGTCTTACAGGACTTCAGGCGAGGTCCTCCTGTAGGGAGGTTAGAATGAGGGTACCCGATTTTGTTCTCTGTAGTCTGTTTTAGTAGGGGAACCCTCCCAACCAAAAAAGGGGGTGACCTTTTTATGCATTTCAGTAGGGGAACCCTTCCCCCGAAAAGTTGGGAAAAGGGCACCTGGCTGGGGGGCCTAGCAAGCGAAGTCCAAAAAAAACCATGGCGATGCCCGATGGAGCGCCTCCAGGGGGTTGTTGGCCAGGTCCAGGCGCTCCAGGTGTGCGCAGGCCTCCGGGGTTTTGGGTGCTGCTCCAAAATGGTGCGACGCGTCAAACTATCCAAGGGCCACCCGAATTGTTTTTTGGGTGCGACGCTTCAAACCAATGGCCACCCGTTACCCGTTCTATTTTTTTTCTTAGGAGGGGGCTTTTTTCTCGGGGCAGTTGCCGCTGTTTAAAGGGAACCCCCTCCAAAAAAAACCACGAAGGAAGTCAGCTTCCCTTGGAGGTTGCTTGGTTTGGTGGGAAAGGGGTGGGTTCCCATTTATCCTCTAGAACCAGAAAATGGCTCAAATCCAAATCCAAAACCCCCAATGAATCAGTACCCTAATAAGCCCCAATAATTAGAACAAATGGCCAACAAGTAGTTTGGGTTGCCGCTGGGTATGAACATTTCACTGACCCTTTTGGTGGATATCATCATTCCGTGGGGATGAACTATGTTCGTTATGATTGATTTGCGTGATTGACCTTCGCTGTACTTTCCGTCTGCAGGGCTACCATAATACTCTTTCCTATCGTTACCAAGCGTGCGCCGAAACGGGCAACTCCACCGCAATCATCGGACCTACTGGCCTCGCGGGTTCCATGAGGATGCATAAAGATGTTGGACGTACCTCCATTTGCTTAAGCCTCCTGGAAAAAACACACGTTCAATAAAATAAAATAAAGCCAACAGGGGGAAATCAATAAATAAAGCAACACTTAAGCAAATGGAAGCTTACAGCCACATGTCATCACCGCAACAAGGAAATGGTCTGTGATCCACCTGAAATACAAAACGTTCGCCGTGCCGCAACTCATCGCCGTATTCAAGTGTGACACGAGGCAAGCAAAGTTGCGGGATCCGGTTTTCATGGGGTGGACCTTCCCCCCCAAAAAGGAGAATGGTGGCTATATGAACCCCCCCCATTGGTCTGCGCCTTGCCAGTAAGGGATTCCGCGAGGCATTGGCCAGCCAAGCCTGTCAGCTCATTGCTACCTCGTGGGCTCGGGCTCTGAGAGGCAGTTGGGTGTATCTCAACGTGTATATATACATATATATGTGTATATACATGCATGTGTATATATATATATATGTATATTCAAGGGTCTGCCTTTTTGAGGGTACCCTTTTCGGGTTGATCTGAAAGGGAAACCAACAGGAAACCAGCCAGTTTTCCTTGGGGGGGGGGAGTTCTCCTAAAAGTGCTCTTTGACAAGGTGCTGAAGTTTGGGGCTGATGCAGGCGTTTTTTGAGACCAGCATTGTCCAGTCTCGTTTTGAAATGAGAAGACCATGGTTCCTTAAGATTCTCAAGTCGTGCCTTACTTCGATGAAGAGGTGCTGGAGATACACGTGTTCCAGGCTCAATATTCATTGTGACCCCAACTGACATGGGAAATGGGCAAGCACTCCCGAATGGTTGCTTTGGTGGGCGTCCCCAATGTCGTCCCCCTTACCACGGTATAGATAACTGCAAATGATGATGGCTTTGAAGCACAAGTTCTGTTAGCTCGTCTTTGCCCCAACTATACAACATTACAACAAATCACCTCTGGCTGCCAGGGAGCGAACCCCCCTGTTTTGCGAAATGAACCATCTGCTGTCTCTGGCCCAAGGCCGTGCAAGCCATTGTGGATGAGCATGAGATGCATATTTGTGTCAAAACCTGGGATTGAAAGGTAAGCTAAGACACCGAACTTGGAGCTTCCGAATCTCAACCTCCCATCATTTGAAAGGCCCCGAAGGGTTCTCTATATTTCCTCTCTCGACGTCACAGGAAGCTGACTGTAAATTGGAACCAAACAGGTGCGTGGGTGTGTGCTGTTTTGGGGGTACCTGCTTTTGGGTTTTAAAGGGAAGCCAAAAGAACACCATCAGCGCCCTGCATGTTTGAGGGGTCCATGTTTGAACCCATCCTAAGGGAACATCCGGACGCTTCCGATCCGACGACACTCTGCACCCAGGAGCCCCAAAGCGTGAGCCAAGCAGCTCAGCACCAGCCTCGCTTGCCAAATGTGTACTCCCAGAACCAAAACATCATGAGGAGGATATCCTTTTGTAGGAAAATGCGGAGGAACTGAGACCACTTTTTGTTGAAAAGCACGGCCCCCCCTTGGTCGGTCTCAAAGGGAAACTAAAAGATACTACCTGGAGTCTCCGGATCTGACCCGAAATAAGAATGGGTCAATGACCAACCATGGTTTTGGGTAATGACCAGCCATGTTTTAAAAAGTCAGAAGGAGACTCCAGGTAAGTTGACATCCAGCCAAAGGAACCCCGTTCCAAGTTACTCGTGTGAGCGGATTGGCCAAGGTCCAAACCCACCTTTCTGTGGCCGGATTGCTTCCCTTGCTTCAGGCCTTGGCAAGCCGAGCTTTGGGATTCCATCCCTTCCCTTCCCCCCAACAAAAAACAACTCCTTGAGTTGGAAGCCGATGTTCGGGTGTCCATGCAGCTTTTTGGCCCAAAGCCCAGAGCTAGCAGAACTGTGACACTCGAACGACTTAAGACTCAATGAACTAGAACTTGTCTATTGTTTGTTGACCCCTTGAGTCTTTCTTTTGGGGTTCATCCTGTGCTCCAAAGGTTTGGAACCTTCGACTTTTGCCTGCCTGGGCCTCCAAGCATCCCAAAGGCGGGCCAGACTTGCACTCCTCATGCAAGAAGCTACGTGTTGCCGGTCGAAATGGAACATGAAGGTTCAAAAGAACACAAAGTGAAACAGCGCTTCTGGCAATGTTTATAGGCTTCCAACCCCTCTTCTTGACCCTGTCACCTCAACCTACCCCCACAATAAGGAGACTGGGGGACCGTGGTAATGCCCTTTTTGTAATGTTCGACATCTTGAGGAAGCACACTACCGGTGTCCCCCCCCTGCTCTCCCAAAAAAAAGTGCTCCACTCTACCCTCCTAAAAAAGTGGGTCCAGCAACCGCGGATTAAAAAAAAAAAAAACGCCCCGGGATACATTGTTTGACAACCCCAAGGTAGACTCAAACCCAGGGGTGGTTCATTTCCCCAAAAAGGAAGCCTTTGGGCTTAAGTCTCCCTTGGAACAGCTATATATAGTAGGCAACCAGCTATTTTCCTTTGGAATCTAAAACGTGCCCTTGTCAACCTGGAGTCTCCATGACCCTTAGAAAATGGTTGGTCATGCATGACCCAAATTCATGTTTGGTCATGCACCCATTTGGCCATGGGTCAAAATCCTGTACCCCCAGTGAACATCTGAATCCCCACTAAAATAGGTTCTAAAATAGGTGGCTACCCCAAAATGGGATCCCATTGGATTTGACAACCAGAGTCATTTTTATTTCGGGTCAGATCCGGACACTCCAGAAACAACCGGAGCCGCTTGATGGACTCCGACTCCGGACGTTGCCCGGACGAAGCGCGAAGCGCGGCGCCTGCGCAGGCGGCGGCCGCAGGCGCCGGGCAGCGCCTGCGCGAGGGCCTCGAGGCCGTCGTCCATCAAGCGGTTCCGCGACAAGCTGAGGCCTGCGTCAAGTCGGGAAGTCGGGGTCACGGGGTGGGGAAGGTTTCGTAGGCATGGATCCCATGCGGGTAGAGGTTGGTAACCAAGGCACCCCTTGAAAGCCAAAGGAAGAAGTAGATGGTAGAGGTCGGTAAGCTTCATCTTCCATTCGGTTAAGGCCCCTTGAAAAAAACAAAAAATGTCCAGTAGTGATGAATTCCCTTTAAAACCAACAAGGGAAAATAGAAAATGTTCTTAAGCAGTCATGGGCCCAGTGGATGGTAGAGGTCAGCAACCAAGCGTTTGTTGTCCCTTGAAAGCCAAAGCTAGCTGGAGGCCTGTGGCTGTTTTGTGGGCTTCCTTTCGGTTACAGCCATGGTCAAGGAGATAGCCATTACGGGACCATCACCCCGCTTACCCTAACCACGGTTATCACCTACTCAGTGGTATAGGCTTGCCACCGTTTAAGAACCAACAGGATGAGCTGGTTGCCAGTTACCCAGTGGCTTGCCTGGGATCCACTGGGTGGCACTCCCCGCTTGTGGGTTCCTTTTGCTTGGTTGGTAAGAGTGGTCTCCTTTTGTATTTGTTTCGGGCTGGTAAAACCCCGAAAGTCACCGCATAGAAAATCCTGCTTTCGGGCAGAGTTCAGTACACTTCCGCTCCTCACTTTTTAAGCACATTGGCCCCCTAAAAGTGCAGCAGGTCGTTTGATTTGCACCTCTTTTGAGGGGACCCGCAAGAGAACACCGAAGTCCGCTACTCACTTCCTGAGTGGATTGGCCCTGGAATAGTCACTGGACTCTTCATTTGCCATGAATATGGTCCAAATCCAAAAGGGTGTCCAGACTCACGTGTGGCTTTCCTTGAAGGCATCACGCAGCAAGAACTTGAATCTACATACTATTACATGCCCACACCTGTTCTGCTCGTGTCAGAAACGCTCAGGGCAATGAGTTGCGCAGCTCAGGGCGCATATTACACATCTGGCTGTGTCTCCAAAAATCAGCCCTCCAAAATGGCTGGCCCTTGTTGGCTTCCGCTCCAGAGCGATCAGAATTCAAGGGGGCGCCAAAACCATCAGTCTTACCTGCCTTTGGGTGATAAATGGCCATGGGTCAAAAGCCCGTACCCCCAGTGAACATCCCAATCCGCACTAAAATAGACTAAAATGGGTGTGCAAAATGGTACCATTGGTTTTGACCCACAGTCAAATGGTGTAGGTCTGCACTTGCATCCCGTTTACGTGTCCTGTGAAACTACAACCAAATCGCCAGACTCCAGGTAAAGCCTGAAACACAAAAATCGCTGGCCACAAAAAGACGCGATGAGAACAACAAACACCCAAGAGTCCGGGGGGGTCCCGGCCCCCGGCAGGCGAGACGTCCATTCTGGGCTGTCCGCCTCGCAGCACGGAGTTTTTCTTCAAACCCTTGGCCAAGACCATGGCGCCCTGAGGTCCTCCACGCTCAAAGCGGCCAACAAAAACACACGTGAGGAGCGCGAATTGGTTGTATCTGGCGCTTTTTGAAGAGGCGCCCATGTCACTCTTTCATGCGTTCTGGGGTCATACCGAAATCATTGTACTGTTTCTGGGGGCTTGTCAAAGTCAACAACTGGGTGCTTCCCTTCAACCCTTCAACCTAAACAAATTGACTGGCCAACTCATGAGCTCAGCTTTATTTTCGGCCGTCGTTTGTTTCCGATCTCTGCCACGAAAAAGATCGCCAGTCCTAGGCCGTTTTCATCGAGACAAAGACGTTCCAGAACTCCGCCGTCCCTCTCCCGCATCTCGAGGACCGGCACCAAGGCTTGCACACCTCAGATGCTCACCGCGCGTTCGGCGTTCGGTTTCGGCGTTCAGCCCCAAAGAAGGCCTTGAAGTCGTAATAAGGGCTTGTTTGGGCTCCCTCCCCCTTTCCTCCCTCCCCCGCAGCCCCCAATGAGTATTGTAATTATCCAATCAGCAATACTGCTCCCAGAGGGTCCCTTGGTAGCTGAGGATGGCTTTTGGGAGGTAAAAGGGGGCGTTCATTACCTTATTAGGTACCAAGGGATGTTTCTGTGGCTCAGCGTGAAGGTGAAAGCTCTGATCTTCGGTTGCTGGACGCTTCTGAGTTCGTGAAGTCGAGTGGATTGGAATTGTCCAAATCGGCGTATGCAATCATAGGAGTTATTCTTGGACAAATAGATGGCACTGTGTTTGGTGATTAAATGGCCAAACTGAGCTAAGGGCGCAAATATGTTTGCAGGTTTGATCCTGAGCGAATTTTGGTGATGACAACTTAGAATCTGTGTGGGATGCAGGGATTGAATGACATGTTTGCAGGCGTTATCCTGAGTTGATCTTGGTGATGAAACCTTAGAATCAGCAAGGCATGGAGTGCTTGAACGAAGAAAGGACGCTTGACCCAGACAAAGAAAGGAAAAAAACACAAGTCGCCCTCGTGAGAAGTTACTGTAGCGTTGAGTGGATCGGTCAGGTTCAGACATACTGCTTACCTCCGAAAGCATCTTCCCACAAGTGAATTGGGAACAGTCCGGGAACTAACTGGGGAATGAACCATCCTGCAATCTTTCTCTCTCTCTCTCTCTCAGAGCCCCCAGCAAGCCAGGCAACCAAAACACCCAGCAACCTTCAGGGTACCCTTTCTTCTGTAGTCTGTTTTAGTAGGGGAACCCTGCCAAGAAAGGGGTGAGAGGTCGGGCACCTGGGGGACCAAAACACCCAGCAGCTTGGAACAAAATCCCACCATTGAGAGGCGCCTTCTGAGCCCAAGCCGTTGCCGCTGAGGTCCAGGATGCTCACCTGAAGGGCTGAATCGGTGAATCGGTTCGGGAGGCGGTCCGCCTGCCCCCAAGTTGGGTTCCCTTCAAAAGCTGCCTTTTACCACGGGATTCCTTAGTTGGGACCCACTTTCGGAGGTCCAACATAAACGACCACTGAGGGAATTGTCTGGAGTCTCCGGATCTGACTCGAACAAAATGGGCCAATGACCAACCATGATTTTGGGCAATGACCAACCATTTTCAAAGGGTAAGAAGGAGACTCCAGGTAGATGCATTCAACATGCAACCACCAAACCAACCAGGTTGATAAGTCGGAGTTCGCCATGATCACTGCAACTGCACATGACCCTCTACTTCAATGGGGAGGAGGAGGGGGGTGGACCCCCCGAAGTCCATTTTTCTACTGTTCCCCACAAAAGGAACAATGGACATAACTGGAATGCCAGGAATCACCCCACCCCTGAGTTCTATTACAAAGGGGGCAGGGCCCCGGCGAAAATATCTGAACCCCTGCAAGCTTCTCCGCTCGTCTGACAGCTCCAGCCTTGAAACCCGCAGAGGGCGGAGGGCTTGGCTGTTCGGCCTAGGGATCAGAACTGGCAGACCCTTTCTGCCAACAAAAGCCACAGGGAGCGACAGATGGGATTCGACGCTTGAGAGGTCGAGAAGACCATGGTGCCTCTCACAAGTTCTTTGGACACCAACATGGTCTTCCCATCCCAATGACCAAGCAAACTTTTGGTGGTACTCAAGATGGCCCTAAACTGCGATCCATTAAAGTGAAGTCTCGAACATTACCCTGCAAGCGGTGGTCTAAAGATTCTCCCCCTTTAACGGACAAGGACAAAAATCAGTTCCGCAAGCCCAACCTGACCAACTTGGCCCACACTGGCTGCGGTTTTTGGAGGGTACCCCAAAATGGGGTTGGCTTACAGGGAATCCCAAGCAAAACGATTCATTTTGGCATTTTTTTCCCCATGGACAAATCTCCGACTTAGAGGCAGACCGTTCACCCAAACAAGTTTTGGCACGGACCCCGGATCTTCCCAGGCCTCCAGTTCTTGCCCAGGCAGCGTCAGCTTTGCCTCCCCAGGCAGCGTCAGCTTGGTGGTGGCCGCGTGCTTCAGCGAAGGACGGCGCCGAGTCACGCGGAGGAAGGCCTACAGGGCTGAGGGCGTGGCTGAGCTGCCAAAACGCAACATGGGGTTCAGTTGCCACCGGTAAGACAATGGAGGTTCATGTAACCACCATTTCCTTGCATTGCCTATCATCTAAATTGTGTCAACCTTTGGTTTAAATGGGGGTTGAACCCCAGGAACATTGGGTGGCCCACTCAATAGGTGGGTGTTCATTTCGCTTTTTCTGTAAAACTCGCAAAACAAGGGGTAGCCTCGAAAAAGACGAGCCACGCAAATGAAACCCTCATGTGCGTGCCAAAACGGTCGGCAAAGGGCATCGCCCTTAAAGAGGCGACCTTGCTTTTGGATGTTCCTACTTGGCCGGTGGGTTAGAACCATGGTTCCCAGTCAGCCAACCCCAGACCTTGCTTTCTAAGTGGGCTGAACACCCTCAAAAATAATGAAGTCATTGACCCATTTTTGAAGGGTCATGGAGCTCCAGGCATGTAAGCGAACCCAAGGCCGGGGAGACGTCTTTCAATTTCGGGAGCATCGGCCCCGCCTGCACCAGGGCGTTGGTGCCATCGGGCCCCAGGAGACAATCTGACGAGCGACACACGTCGGCGGCCACTCCAAAATGAGCAAAACAAGGAAAAAAACAAGCAACGATGCAACAAAAGACTTGGGAACGCACAAAATAACAGAAAGAAAACGTGAGATCAGGAATCAGGAAGAAAGAAAGACAGGAAGAAAGGGAAGACAGGGAAGGGAAGGACAGAAATTCAGAACACGGAAGGAAGGAAGAATAAACAGAACACAAGAGAAAATTTAGTTGTGGTGTAAAAACAAAAAAACGGACCATCACAAACAAATC